AATACACTTTTGTTGCTGTGTTTTAAAATCCATTGATTTCTGTAAACAAACTTTTATTCGCATGCGAGAAATTTTCGCAATTGTCGCAAGAGAATTGTCAACTCGAATATTTCTCGCCGCGAACCGATCCTTAAAGTCTTAGTGTATATTAACAACATGTCAAAATAAGGCTTCATCGCAAAAATCAATCGTCACGAACTAGTTTACCCTCATAAAATCGCGAAATAAAGTTCTCTCGAATAAAAGTTGGTGTACAGTATTATGTTGGTATGTCTATATCATTATTTTAAGAAATTATATGCATGTAGTAGGTAAGGTAATAAAACACTTTTTTTAAACAGTGAAACTGTTTCCCATATCTTCCCCCTTATCTTGGGTCAACAGTTCGACTGTTTCCCTCGTAGTTATGAATAAAAAATGTGTATATTGTTTTATGGTTTTTACATCAAATAAGGGGTCAAATTCAGCCGTTACCATACCTTCATGTATATTTATCTACGCAGATTTACATGTACAATCTACAACCATAAAGCCTCCAGCCCCAGATGTAACAGTGACCTCTACAGATATAGCACCTACAGAATCAGGTAATAATACAGTGTGGAGTTTCATGAATCTTTAAATAAAATGCAAATATAGGTCGTTAAATGAAGTGATTTAGGAGGGAATTCCCTCTACTCCAACTAAGAAAACTTTGGTCATTTTAAGAATATAATATTTCTTACATGTGTACTTTTCTGCACAATCTAAAATATCTCCTAAACACATGATTTGTTTTCATGTATATTTAAAAATAGACTATTTTCCCTTGATCAGAGTGTATAGACGCTAAGGATGTTGACTGCATACTTTATAACCCAAAGATTATATGTAACGACACGAGCATCTACTATCCATGGGCCAGAGTCAGATGTCCATATTACTGTGGATTTTGCCATCGTAAGTATGATCCGGTAATTATTTATTTCTTTTGTATATACATCATTAAGAGGATCGAATGGTTTTGATGTAAAATATGAGAGAGATGGAGAGAGATTGAAAACTCTGCAAAATTACTAAAAGCTTCAACTGATCGTCCATTCTAGTGCAACACAGACAAACTTACAAAGAACAATAACATTGGATTCACTTCAGTTTTTTTTATTCTTAGTATCAAGAGATACATAAGATTTTCATTATAATATATGGTATTCATAATTGAAATGAAAAGATAATTTAAGCAATGAATCATTTTTTTTTGAAAGATATAGTCTCATAACTGCAACGGCGTGTGCAAACAAATTGAGTAACGCGCTACAAAAGGAAATAAAACAGTAGCACAACGGTATCTCTCCCTAAGGTACAAAAGTTCTCCTTACCAAAATTGCTTTCATTTACTCTTTCAGAGAAAAACATCAAAACTTTTATCGAACATTTTTTTCTGCGAAAACCATATTTGCATGTTTGCCTTTTTTGTCCATGTAAACAGCGTCCACATATTGCTCGCCCTCAGCAAAAAGAAATTTGACGCCAAAAATGCCATGGACATAAGTTCCTGGCAAATGTCTTTTGGATTTCGACAGTCTAAAGGCTTTTCTAAGGTAGAATCGTATTAATATGCTTTACATGCTACTAGTAAATAATTCTTCATCGAGTAAAACAAGATTTTCCGGACAGAGTCTGGATGCTTATTTCGGAGATAAAAGGAATAAAAGCAAGCATATGATATGTGACTTATAAATACCACATCAGAGAAATGAATGTTAGTAGAAACTCATTTTCTGAAAACATTAAATTTTATTTCTTACATTTTTTAAAGTTGGTTTTCCCTGTTTCTTGGAATTTGAAAAATTATATTGTGTTCTTACATTATATGATTAACTCTTTCTCTGCATGTGCTCATTCTTTTGTATCAAACAGGTAAATTCTTCTGCAAGAATACACTTTTAACAATATAAGACTTTCTGTTCAACAATGACTCTCTTTTGTAATGTGTTTGTTTTTTTCTGTCATACTGCAAGGTCCAACATTAACAATTCTTTGTAAAGACGAAATCCCAACATGTCGGGACTACAGCGCAGACCTGTGTACAAACCCTTTATACAGAATCTTCAGGGAAAGGAAATGTAGAAAATACTGTGGAATATGTAAAGGTAAATGTTAACATTATACAACTACTAGACCAGTATGTTTTGTATAACATGAATAATTGTATTTAAAATATAAGGTGAAGCCCTGAATAAAAAGATTCACTTGGGTATATTGTTTTTGTCCTGTCCGTCTGTTTGTCTGGAGAAGGATATAGAGATAACGAACAGTATTCAATATCAAAGTCCATAAAACAATAGAAAATAGTAGCAGAGCAAACACGGACCTCCGAAACATCATAGGTGGGATCAGGTGCCATGGAGGGGTGAGCATCCCCTGCTGACCGGTCACACCCACCGTTTGCTCATTGTCATGATCGTGAAATAACCAAAAAAACCGTCTTCAATGCAGTGTATAAATAATGGACTAACAACTGGTATAAAAAACGTCAGTCAGCATTTGACTCAATGATAAATTGCATTTGCTGACAAGGTCATTGTATCGACCATAGAACTTACGAAATGATGACTTTATACGAGACTGCTGATATTCTTGTTTCATCAACTTGCTTGTCAATAGATTACCTCGCTTTAGAAATTGTGGTATCTTTTTTCTCAAGCTCTCCTGGATATATCGTATCGACGTAAGAATGGAAATTACTATTGTTAATTGACAATACGTCGTCGATATATCTGAAGGTCGAGTTTAAGGCCACAGCTGTTTCTCTATCTGTCTGTTGTCAACTTTAACCTAGTAATTAACTTTTGTGCTATCAAGGGTAAGTGTACCACTTCAGTCTACGTCCCAATCCAGAATTACGTTACCATCGGGGGGCATCGTGTTTCACAAACACATCTTGTTTTTCAGATTTTGATTCTGTCCCAAACATCGATTCCTTGGTCGGATGATTCCTCTACAAATATTTGCTTTTTGTTAAGTTTGATTACTTTTAAAAAATGACATTGCCTTTTCTTCATGTATAACATATCTATGTATTCAATACACATGTTTTTGTATGATATATTTGTCTTTTGCTCACACTCCTTATAAGGTATGCTCCTGAAAATCATTATGTGCAATCTGTGAGAACGCAGATATGACTTATTCTAGCTTGGGGGATAATTTTTAGCTTGGGAGAATACCGAATTCATAAGTTATAACATATAAATCATAGCACATTACTTAATTGCTGGACACAAGCTAGATGTACACATGTGTAAAGAAGAAGGTACAGTTTGGGCTTTTATTGTGCTCTAAAATTTTAATGTTCTTGAAAAGTTATCACTTGGCTTTAACAAGAGTTGAGTAGATAAATATGATAAATGATCAAAGAATATGGCATGAAGGAGGACCATTCTGAAAATATGACATCATTAATTTTTTACATTTCTAAGTTATTGCAGAAAAGCCTCAGAGTGACTCATTTCTGTGCTTATTTTTCTTTAGAAAAGCGTCTGCCACCATCGCCCACTTCAATTTTTAGATATGCTGTGTAAACTGCCTGAAAAATTCACATATCTCTAACTAAAAATCTCTGTGGGCAACGGTGGCAGAGTATGGTTTCTGAAAAAAAATTCTACTTAAAATTGATGTCTTTTGCAACTTTTAAAGAAAAGTCGGCGGGAAAATGCTCGAATTAATGACGTCACAATTAGCATTTAGGGGGTCAGATGAGAAAAACGATATGTGTATTCTTACTGGATAGAATTCCTATGAATCAGAAAAAATGAATTTTAATTTCTTATATCACTTTTATATTTAAAAATACAGGGCTTGATTTGTATAGAAACTGTACCTTGTTCTTTTCAAACAAGATAAACTGCTGTAAAAATTTCAATGTTCTCTATACACATATCCTTTGAAAAACGTCTGCCTTACATGTTTAAAGAATGATTCAATGGAAAAATAAACCGGGTAAAAACCGAGCTTATCGAAATCCAGCGAAATTAGAGGCTTTATGCTTTAGTAAAAAAACTTTCTGGTAAGTGACATCAGATAATACATTGTAGCACGTCTTTTCTCAGTGTTTTTATGTACTTTTTGTCATATGAAAGCAAGCTTTGTATTTGACAATTAAAGCTATAACGTTTATTATCAAAAGGATAGACATGTTTAGAAATTTGTGAGTGATTCAGGGGAATTGCAGAGAAGTAATTTGAAAATGACTTTCTAGTAACGCTTTAGAATATGTTTGATAAGAAGGCCCCAGAAATCGAAATAAAAAACATAACATTTTTAAACCTATACAACAAAAAATACCTTGATGATCGCAAAGTTTAAACCTTTAAAATACAGGTTAAAGCTGACATGAATTCTTAAAAACGCAACATTTTCATCTATGTACGACTTGTTTCATACCAACTATAGCCGTATTCCGCCATATTTCTTTCAGATACCTTGTCTCTGTAACGATGTATACCCCAATGCGCTAGTTACACTTGAATGATTTTTTGGATTGGGTATCGACTTGTGCACATCTCCGATGGTAAAGCATATGAGAACACATGAGGACATCAAGACATTTCAAAAACAAAATAAACAACATAATAAGCATGTTTTTGAATGATTATTGATTTGAATCAAAAGAAAAAAATGCAAGTTTGGAAGAGAAATTTAGATGCATGAGTACGTATTTTTACAGTGCGCCAATTTATGCAGAATAAACTTGAAATAAAAAGCAGTAAAATTTGCAAACACATTTTGAAATTATATCATTTAAATGGAACAAAACAACCAACGTCTTTGATCTGCAGGTCCTATGCAATTGATGCATATCGAGAAAACGCCTCGAACGCTGTAAACGTACCCATACCTGGTAATAAGGTTACTGCATCGGTTCGAAGATGTGCACAAGTGATATACACCCTGAATTCCATTTATTGAAATACTAGTATGCTCGCATCACAAAAAATAAAACTCCATAAAAGCGCAATAGTAAACACACTGTCATTACTCCGTACACACTATGACACTTGACACTAGCACGACGATACACTTAGTCCGTGCTGATCAGATTTTGGTCAGGGAAAATATCAAAAGTGCATGAAAGAGAAGTTATTTGGTATTTGGGCGGCTGAAATTGGGGGGGGGGGATATTATAACTGATGTTCATAAGCTATAATTGTGAATTGTTTATCTACATGTAGTTCTAATATACATTCTATACAAAGTCATGTATATAGTCTGCAGTTGGTTTGCGTCGGAAAATTCATTTGTCAATTATAACTGATTATTTTAGTACTAATCTCAAATCTGAACCAAGTAACTTGATGTACGGCAATAATTTACTTCAAATCTTAAAAGCAATTAACCAGAATACAAATTTTTATGTTTACATCTACACATTCTTTAACACATACACACACGGAGAAAGGCCATCCCCTGTTCAGATTGACATTTAGGCATTTGATATTTTGGACGGGGGGGGGGGGGGCAAACAAAAATAATTGACATGACCGTTATTTAAATATTCTTGGAAGACAGACATTTCTGCCGAATTCAGTTCTAAGATTTTTTTTAAAATCTGACCACAAAGTATGTGCATTTTGAGGAATGTAACTGTTGTATAATTATGTTGTTACTGGAAGTATTTCGAGATTTCAGTATCCTTGCCTGATAGTCTAGGTATTTTTTTTTTATACATATAAATAATTTTTGTAGTTGAATTTGGGAGATAATATTAAAAGCTAGAGTAGATACTTGACACTGGATGAATACGGATAATTATTATTTATTCTTTTGTATATTGAACTCTCTCTCTCTCTCTCTCTCTCTCTCTCTCTCTCTCTCTCTCTCTCTCTCTAACCACCCTTTGGGGCAATGATAGGTATAAATCCTACGCACTTTGTGATGTACCATTTATTATGCCTTATGACAGATCAAGGATTTTTTTCAGGCGGGATGTCGAACCTTCATAAATTGAATAATAATTTTACTTTGGACAGGAAATTAACCCAAACGCCCAAATTGAAAGAGAAACTAGACGTAAATGTATTATGAGCACTGAGCTCACTCAGTGATACCCCCTGCCTCTCATATGGTTATAATGGCAAATTCCATATTTCGCTAAACCCATACGTGTCAGATCAAAAAGTAAAATAGGAGGTGCATAATGGTAATATGTAATGAACTTAAGATTATTTGAAAGTTTCATTAAATTTCTCTAAGTGGTATAAGAGGATTTGCGGATAAGGTACCCCAAAGCGTAACAGACAGACGAACGGACATAACGATTACTATATAACCTCCCACTTTTCAGGCGGGGGATATAATAAACGTGAAATATACATCACAGGAATGGGAACATCTGGAACTTTCTCGAATACCTTCTCAAACATATGTGTCGAACTTGGACAACAGACAAGAGAATTTTTAAAAAGCTAATTTTAGGTAGAATGTGGAATTCTCAAGAGGAGTTTACTCTCTCTTTCTATATGCTTTTTCTAATAATCATTAATTATTTATGTCTAGAAATTTAATTCACATTAAATTCTATTTTCATTATCATTGTACCAAAGAATCAAACTTGTTTATTATACCCCACGCGTGAGGTATAATGTTCTTGACCCATCAGTCAGTCTTTTTTTTTTTTTTTTTGGTCAGCGCAACTTCTCATAAACCACTGTACAGAGTTTTGTCGAACTTTGCATATATTTATAGGAGACAATGTGTGTAGATTTGCACATCACCAGGAAATTCCAAATTCTTTAATTTTCGGGAACATCCGCACTTTTACATTAATTTTAGATTTTGGCCATATCTTGAATATAGAGGTGAGCAGTTTGTCAGCGCAACTCCTCATAAACCGCTGCACACAATTTCGTCAAACTTTGCAGATATTTAGGACACGATGTGTATAGATGTGCATATTACAAGGAAATTACAATTCCTTTATTTTTTTTCTTGGAATTTCAGCACTTCAACTTTTGGGGGAGCGTGGGGTATGTGAACGTGCTCACTTTTTTTTTCATTGTGCATAAAAATATAAATAACTTTAAATCAAATTATATTAGGTCTAATAAAGCCAATACACAGTATTTATTTGATAATAATTGATCATAAAGAAATCTAATCTGTTTCAGACGTTTTTCTTACATTATTTTTATGAGAGTGTTATGCATGTTTTATTACACCCCCCCCTCATATCACGGGAAAATATCTTCAAAAGGTGAATGATTCGTAATAATGCCTGCTTTTTTTTTTTATGAATTTGATGAAGTTAAACCATGTACTTAATCGTAAATTTTATTTATAACATGTACAGACAAGAGTAATGTTTATTTTTGAAAAAATTACTTGCATTTTTTTTTCTATCAACCCAACTGAGCTTTCAACCTTTGATATTTTCCCTGACCAAATAAAGTGATCGGCATGGGCCACGTGTGTCCAAGCATCTTTTACTGTTGAGTTAGCAATGGATTACATGACTTCTGAGATGCTTTTTTCAATAAAAGTAAAATAGGATAATTCTTTCGACATGTGCACATCCCTGTAACGATAGCAGTATTCAGGTAAACGTTTTATCACTGCGTTTGACGCGTTTTCTCGACATGCATGGATTTTTGCTGTACATAATTTTGCTGTACATAAATGTATTCCGTGTTAGTGTACTTTTTATATTGCAGCAAATGCATTCAAAATAATTTAATTCTCGGTATAGTTCTATTTTTTGTTGAATTTTTCTTTTCAAACATGTATTTGGTCAGTTTATGGACTTCTAAAAACTATGCTATCGGAGATGTGTACATGTCGACAACCAGACTAGAAAATCACTCGAGTGAAACAATTCTACAAGGCTATATATAGCAGGTACAGGTGGCCAAAAATCTTCGATTAAATATGGCGGAATCGAAGAAATATGTCGGACAAGGGCGTACAGGAATGTAGTAAGTCGTACAAAGATGAAAATTGATGCCTTTTTAAGAGTTCATGTCAGCTTTCAAGTTACATATCTGGCAACGGATGGGGTTCCGTACCCCTGAAAATCGCAGGTGGAATGAAGTGCTCAAGAGAGTAAATATA